AAGAAGAAAAAGGTAAAGATACAAATTATGAACAACAAATACTCATCTATCAACAAGTGAATCTAAAAATCAAGGGAATAAATAATCTAATGAACAGAAAAAAAAAAGAATAATAAACTATCAGAAAGGGAAACTAGGAAACCAAATCACTCACAACCGCTTAAAAAAAAATTTAAATACCCAGAAATAATATTAACCAAAGAAGTAAAAGACCTGTACTTGGAAGATTATAAGACACTGAAGAAAGAAACTGAAGATACAAATAAGTAGAAGCATATACCATACCATGTTCATGGGTAGGAAGAATTAACATATAATTAAAATGTCCATACTACCCAAAGCAACCTATAGATTCAATGCAATTCTTACCAATATATCAATGGCGTATTTCACAGTACTAGAATAAATATTCCAAAAATTTATATGGAACCACAAAAGACCCCAAATAGCAACAGCAATCTTGAGAAAAAAAGAACAAAGCTGGAGGAACCACACTACCTGATATCAAACTATATTACAAGGCCATAGTAATCAAAACAGCATGGTAATGGCACAAAAACAGACATATAAATCAATGGAATATAATAGAGATCCCCAAAATAAACCCATACCTTTGGGTCAATTAATATTTGACAAAGGAGCCCAGCTGGCGTGGCTCAGTGGTTGAGCATCGACTGGGTTGTGCAGGGGTCCTCAAACTACGGCCCGTGGGCCACATGCAAATACAAATACTGTATTTGTTCCCGTTTTGTTTTTTTTTCTTCAAAATAAGATATGTGCAGTGTGCATAGGAATTTGTTCATAGTTTTTTTTTTTAAACTATAGTCCGGCCCTCCAACAGTCTGAGGGAAAGTGAACTGGCCCCGTGTTTAAAAAGTTTGAGGGCCCCTGGGGTTGTGGGTCGATCCCCAGTAAGGGTTGTGTAGGAGGCAGCTGATCAATGATTTTCTTTCATCATTGATGTTTCTCTCTCTCTCTCTCTCTCCCCCCGCTTCCTCTCTGAAGTCAATAAAAATATATTTTTTAAAAATGTTTGACAAAGGAGGCAAAAATATACAATAGACTAAAGATAGTCTATTCCAGGGGTCCTCAAACTGCGGCCCGCCGAAAACATTTATCCGGCCCGCCGGGTGTTTTTGCCGCCGCTGCCTGTCTTGCTTAGCAGCTGACTCGTACCGGGCCCGCAGTGCGCATGTGTGGAATGTCTGAGGGACAGTGAACTGGCCCCCTGTTTAAAAAGTTTGAGGACCTCTGGTCTATTCAATAAATGGTGTTGGAAATATTGGACACAATATGTGCAAAAAAATAAAACTAGACCAACTTCTTACACCACACACAAGGATAAACTCAAAATGGACCAAAGACTTAAATGTTAAACTTGAAACCATAATAATCCTACAAGAAAACATAGGTAGTAAAATCTCGGACATTTCTCATAGCAATATTTTCTCTGATATGTCTCCTCGGGAAAGGAAAACAAAAGAAAAGTAAACAATGGGACTATATCAAACTAAAAATTTTTTGCACAGCAAAGGCAACCATCAACAAAATGAAAAGACAACCCACTGAATGGTAAAAAATATTCACCGATACATCTGATAAGGGGTTAATATCCCAAATTTATAAAGAACTTATAAAACTGAACACCAAAAAACCAAACAATCCAATTAAAAAATGGGCAAAAGACCTAAACAGACACTTTTCCAAAGAGGACACATAGATGGCCAATATACATAAGAAAAGATGTTCAATGTCAGTCATCATCAGAGAAATGCAAATTAAAACCACAATGAGATATCATATCATGCCTGTCTGAATGGCTAGCATAAATAAATCAACAAACAAGTGTTGGCGAGGATGTGCACTGTTGGTAGGAATGCAGATTGGTGCAGCCACTATGGAAAACATTATGGAGCTACCTCAAAAATTAAAATGGAACCCAGTGATTCCACTACTTCTGGGAATTTATCAGAAGAAACACGGCACACTAATTCAGCGGTTCTCAACCTGTGGGTTTTGACCACTTTGGCGGTCGAATGACCCTTTCACAGGGGTCGCCTAAGACCATCCTGCATATCAGATATTTACATTACGATTCATAACAGTAGCAACATTACAGTTATGAAGTAGCAATGAAAATAATTATATGATTGGGTCACAACATGAGGAACTGTATTTAAAGGGCCAGAAGGTTGAGAACCACTGCACTAATTCAAAAGAATATTTGTACCCCTATTTTCATTGCAGTGTTATTTACAATAGCCAAGATTTAAAGCAGCCCAACTATCCATCAGTAGATGGCTGGATAAAAAGAGCTGTGGTACATTTACACAATGGAATACTACTTGGCTGTAAACAAAACAAAACAAAACAAAAACGGAAATCTTACCCTTTGCAACAGTATATAGATGGACCTGAAGAACATTATGCTAAGTGAAATATGCCAATGAGAGAAAGACAAGTACCATATGATTTCACTCATATGTGGAATCTAATGAACAAAATGAACTAACAAGCAAAACAGAGACAGACTTATAGACAGAGAGCTGACTGACAGCAGGGGAGGGGGGCGGGATTTGGGGGGGGTGTCTGAATATTAGGTGGAGGGATTGAGAAAAAAAAACAACAGAGGCCCTAACCGGTTTGACTCAGTGGATAGAGTGTCGGCCTGCGGACTGAAGGGTCCCAGGTTTGATTCCGATCAAGGGCATGTACCTTGGCTGCAGGCATATCCCCAATAGAGGGTGTGCAGGAAGCAGCTGATTGATGTTTCTCTCTCATTGATGTTTCTAACTCTCTATCCCTCTCCCTTCCTCTCTGTAAAAAATCAATAAAATATATTTTTTTAAAAAAGGAGACAAACGAAGAAACTTATGGACAGCGACAATAGTGTGTACTGAGGAGGGGAGGGGGACTAGAGGAAAGGGAGTAAGTTTTAGGAGGGATAAATAGAGACTTGACTTGGGGTGATGAACACACAATACAGTGGTGTACAGATGATGTGTTATAGAATTGTGCACCTGAAACCTGGATAATTGTTAACCAGTGTCACCACAATAAATTTTTTAAAAAGTCCATACCCAAATGTGACATACTAGTACTGTATGAACCCACCTACTTAATGTTCTTAAACAACACTATCAGATGGATATCAGAGACCAATGAGAGGCTAGAGAGCAGTGGGTATGGCCGAAAAAGGCAATAGGAAGGATGCTTCTGAAAGCAAATGTTCTGTATCCTGTGTGTATTATTGTCAGTATGCTGCTTATGACATTGTATTGTATCTGTTATTTCTTACATCTGAGGCGAATCTATGATTACCTAAAAAAATAAATAGATAAATGCACCTATATTCATAGCAACATTATTCACAGTGGCCAGAAGGTGGAAGCAACCTAAGTGTCTATCAAAGAATGAAATGACCTCGCCGGTGTGGCTCAGTTGGTTGGGCATCGTCCCGTACACCAAGAGGTTGCTGGTTAGATTCCTGGTCAGGAATGCCAGGGTTGTGAGGTCAATTCCCAGTGGGGAGCCTGCAAGGGGCAGCGAATCAATGTTACCCTCTCCCATCAATGTTTCTCTCTCTTCCTTCCTTTCTCTCTAAAAATCAGTAAAAATGTTTTATTTTAGAAAGAATGAATGGATAAGTACAATGGATTATATACACACCACGAAATATCATTCAGCCTTCACGAAGGAGAGAATTCTGACACAGGCTACATCATGGATGAGCCTTAGGACATTACACTGAGGGAAGTAAACCAGACTCAAAAGGACAAATGCTGTGTGGTCCACGTATGTGCTCTCTAGAGTGAGTGTGATGGTGGGTGCCAGGCCAGCAGTATGGGGGAATGAGGAATTATTACTGATGGGTGAGGAGTTTCAGTTTGGAAAGATGAAAAAATTCTGGAGATTGGTTGCACAACAATGGGATATACTTAAGATTACTGAACACTTAAAAACACCACTGTACATTAAAAATGGTTAGAATTGTAAATTTTGTTATTTGTATTTTACAATTAAAAATTCAAAAGAAAAAGCCCTAAAAAATAAGACCTTCAGGATGGTGACTTAGTGCATTGGGCAGAAACAATCTTCAATGGAGTGATACAGAGCACTGATTTATCAGAATCTGTCTCTTCTGCTCACTGTGGCATCTACAGGGACCTGGATAAATTCAAAGGTGAACAACTGAAACTCAATAGATACTAAATTCATAGCATCACTTTGCAAGTTGTACTGGTCAAAGGTATCAGCACATGCTGTGTTCCAGGGGAATGGACAACCCCCCACTTCATGTGCCCAGCAAATTCCCTCTCGTCCTGAGCTGAACCCCCTCTCAAGTTTAAAGTCCTGCTAAATGCACTGTGCAGAGAACAAATTGCTGTCCTTCAGATAGTCTTCCATCTGCTGAGAACCAGTAGCAACAGGGTCCACCCCTTTACAGCACCAACATTCTTGTAATAACTGAATTTCATGGCAACGAAAGGAAAGTGTTCAGTAGGGAAACTAAGGGGGTGTGGTCAGCCCCAGGCAGAAACTGGGATGGAAAGAGGTGAGTGAAGACACCTGCTAAACCAAAACCAGCTCCCACCACCTGAGAAAGTAAGGCTTACGTGGAAACCCCTAACAGCCCTCTGCATGGCTACGTGACGGTACCAACGAAATCTACTTTTTCCCTTCCCCTTTTTCACTGGAGGGGACACCAAGATGCCAAGAGGAAGAGAGATGGGGACTCGAGGATGTTTGTTGTCCACCACCATTGTCCACACAGGCTCCCAAAGGTGACGGCACAGCCAGCATGGTGAGCAGCCCAGATTATGGGGCAGGAGGAGGGATAGGAGTCACATAAACTCACATCTGTCCTTGTATTTTTTCTAGACAGGGGCTGAACAGCCTGTGTGGCAGAGAGAAAGCTGGCCAGGATCCTGGCAAAGCTTCCCTGTAGCTGACAGAGAGGCAAAGTGGGGTTTTCAAGGGTTCTTGCAGAAGTCACTCACCAGGGGCAGCTGGAGAGAGGTCATCTGCTGTCCATCCCTCACGCTCACTTCCTGAAGGAGGGATGGGTCCTGAGGAACTGAAAGAGATGAGAAAAGGGTGTCTCATAACCCTGGGTCTCTTTTCTTACCTGGGAGGACAAGATAATGCAGATAAAAAAACTTTGGGCAAACTTTGCTTTCAAACACAACAAGGGAGACTTTGACAGGGAATGCCTGGGCTTGAGTTGGCCCTGCCACCAAGTCGCAATGTAACTTCCCAAAGATGCAGGGGCTTCAACTTCATGATCCGAAATATGGGGAAAATAGAGGTTAGAGCTCTGAGTCAAGACATCAGTAAGAGCTGCCAGCAATGAAAATTACTGTGGGGCTCCAGGGTCATAGAAATGTATACACCTGGAAGTTTATAAACTGTAAACTCCAGAACACTGTGTCCCTGTTATGCCCCCTCTTACCCTCCCAGAAGAAGCACTTGTTGAAGCCCACTAGAAAGTGCAGAGTATAGAACTGGGACCACCTCCCTTAGCCTGACCTTGAGGCCTGGGGGCAGGGGTTGCTATTCCAACAGACTTCTCTCCCTGATGGGCAACTACACCTTGCTCAGGCTTCTGTAAGCAGTGAGCCACATACCTTGCCCAGGGTGCAGCCACGTGAAAATAAGTTGTTTCAAAAGGTGCTCCTTTCACAGAATAAGACTTGGAAAGCTGCACTATCGTTTCTTGGTCTTTTGAAGGTTGATCCTGGTCACATGTTAAATCAGCCTCAAAGCTAACACAGAAGCCACCATTTCTCACCAAGATGCAGCAGGGAAAGGTGTAACTATTTAGAACAAGGGTCCAAACAGGAGGCAGAACAAGAGACAACTTAGCCAGCAGTGACACTGGGGGTCCCAGAGGGAGGCAACCTTCTCACTCTGCTGTGGAAAGCTCAAGCAGGGTGGGTGTGGATGTGAGGGGCGAGTTCATTCTGCTCTCTCACACCTGCCACCTTCTGGGGGATGAATGACAGCCTCTCCCTACCTTTCCCATGGGACATGAGTACACGGACACTTTTACAAATCATTGTGAAAGCGTTACCCTTTAAGTCAGATTTAGCGTTTTGGGAAGATTTTCAAGATTAGGAACTACAAGGTTTTTGCTGGCGGCTCATCCCAACAACAAATCACTTTAAGTCTTTAAGGTCTTCCTAGTAACAAACTCATCATGGCTCCTTTGTCCACTTATTATTGCTCAGGGTAAATGGAGGAGCTGAGTCTTTGGACCAGAATCCTATCAGTGGTAACTGGCTTATCTCTGAACTTCCTCAAGAAGCACCAGCTTAGGCTGGGGCAGCTACTTCTGAGGGCATTCTTGCTACCTACAACCTGCATATCACAAGCTGCCTGCACATGCAGTGTTTATTTGGACTAATGGTTGCTTCCCTTCAGCTTGTCGTTAGACTAAATTATGTCCCCACCAAATTCACATGTTGAAGTCCCAACCCCTAAGACCATAAAATGTGACTGTATTTGGAGATGGGGATCTTTCAAGAGGTAATTAAGTTAACAAAATTTTTAGGATGGCCCTAACCCAATATGACTGATGTCCTTATAAGAAGAGATTAAGCCCTGGCTGGTACACCAAAAAGTGGCAGGTTTTACGGCTGGTGTGGTTCAGTGGTTGAGCATCAACCCATGAACCAGGAGATCATAGTTCGATTCCCTGTTAGGGCACATGCTAGGATTGTGGGTTTGATCCCCAGTAGGGGGCGTGGCAGCCAATCAATGATTCTCATCATTGATGTTTCTATCTCTCCCTCTCTCTCTGAAATCAATAAAAAAATATTTAAAGAAGAAAAAATAAGGTGGCAGGTTTGATTCCTAGTAAGGGCACATGCCCGGGTTGCAGGCTCAATCCCGAGTAGAGGGCATGCAGGGGGCAACCAATCAATGTTTTTCTCTCACATTGATGTTTCTCTCTCCCCCCGCCCTTCCTCTCTCTAAGATCAATTAAAAAAATTTTTTAAATAGTTAAAATGGTAAATTTTATTTTAAAAAGAGATTAAGACACACACAAAGGGACAAACACATGAGGACATAGGTAGATGATGGCCATTCACACACCAAGGAGAGAGGCCTCAGAAGGAACCAGCCCTCCTGACACCTGGTCTGGATCTTCCAACCTCCAGAACTGGAAGAAAGTAAATGTCTGTTGTTTAAGCTGCCCTGTCTGTGGGACTTTGTTCAGACAGTCCTAAAAAACTATCTGGACTTTCAACCAAGGGGAGGCTGAAGAGTTTGTTTTATACAGAAGTCAATATAGTTTAACCCATAAAGAAATTTAATATGCTTTTTTTTTAACTGAAAAACTTATGACAATGTTAAGGACGACTGTGAATCTCAAGAATACTCTCTCTTCTGGCACCCTCCCTCCTTTCATCTGTTATCTATAGCACAATGTAGCAAGTCTGCCCAAAACAACCCTCACACCACAGAGGTCACTTAACCCCAGGGCAGCACATCTTCCCATAGGATTACTTCAACTGATAATCGTGACTGCTTAGCATTTTATGGATATAATCCTTTAATCCTCAAGAAACCCAATAAGAGTAATTATTACCTCCTTTGGATGGACCAGTAAACTGAGGCTTGCAGAGTTTAGAAGCTGCCCTGGGTTATAGCGAGGTGCCAAAACCACCTGCCTGAAGCCACCAGCACACTTTGTACAGATATTTAGACATGGCTAGGTGACATTCAAGCCCCAAACCCTGAGACACCAACCTGTTCCCTCTGAGAGTTATTTCTGTATTTCCTTGCAGCATCATAACAAGCCTGAGATCAGGGGCTGTTTTGCTGGGAAAGAGAGGTTCAGGGAGACAAGTGGATATGGCCACACTCGGTTTCTGACACAGCCCTACTGGGACAGCCAATAGTGCCCAGCTGTCCCCACAAAATGACAAAGCCCAGAAATGCACCCTCACAGAGAGAAGATGGTGCAGCTTCAAAGACAGCCCCTTACAACAGAGTCTGCAATGGGAGACAGAGGTCCCTCTGAATGAATGGGGCACCATGAAAAGAACAGACACCCTCAGGAAATTCTGATTCCATCACTCTAGGGAGGAACTCAGACCTTGAAAGTTGTTTATGGCTCCTCAGGGGATAGGAGAGAACTACTGAGGTCAAGAGCCACCTCTAAGGCACAAGGTGGGGTACAAAGGCCGGCCTGCCCCCCGCCCCAGACTCCCTACCTGGGTCCCCGCTGAGCTGGCCTGGCAGTCTGCTTGGGAGCCCAGGGCCCTGGGGCAGGGCCACTGGCTGGGCTTCCTGGCTCTTTGCAAGGTGGCTCTGGGCCTCTGCTGGGAGCCGCTCCTGCTCCTGGTCCAGAGGGCCATCCCCATCGTCAATCACCACGGGGTCCTCACAGTGCTTGAGCTGCAATCCCAGAAAGAGCTTTTCAGGACTCACAGAGAGGTCCCTAGCCAGCAAGGGCCAGAGGCTGTGCAAACTCCCTCCCTTGGCCTACTGACCTTCACCTCCACAGCTGATCACTGGAGGCTCAGCCCAGGCCTTGGACAGGGCTGTAAAGGGGAAGGACTTATCTTCCTAGTTAGAGCCTTTAGGGAATATAATCTGCTCTACTGAGAAACCAACACTCATGTGTACTTCACCAAAGCAAGAGCTCTGGAGAGAATTCCTCATCCCTGCCAGGGGACGGGGAAGGTGTGTGTGTGTGTGGAGGCTCTTACCCTCTTCTCCTCCCAACCTCCAGCCAGCCCAGAGCAGCTGCTCCACTCACCCACTGCCAGGGTCTCCCTGGCTCCCTTTCTAGTGCCTCCACAGCAGCCACAGCCTGCTCTCCACTCTCCGGCTCCTGGGCACGCACCCAGCCCTGGATCTCGCAAGGCAGGATGGCTAGGAATTGCTCCAGCACCAGCAACTCCAGGATCTGCTCCTTGCTGTGCCGCTCGGGGCACAGCCAGCCCCGGCACAGGTCCCAGAGGCGCTGCAGGGCCTCACGGGGGCCCGCCGCCTCCTGGTAGCGGAACCGGCGGAAGAGGCGTCGGGAAGATTCGGGGCTGGGAGGCTCGCCCTGGGGTCCAGGGCTCTCTCCCGGTGGGCTCCTCATTTTCCTGGGCTCCTCACTTTCCTTCGGAGCCAAGACTCGGGGACACAGGGCTGTGGGCATGATGGGATTTGATGGGGGTCAGCAGCAGAAGACGACCCTATTTTCAAACAGAAATCACTGGCTTCAATACTCTGGTCTCTTGTAAGTAGGTGTGGAGGGTGGTGATGGGGAAAGTGACAAGGCCTAAGGACCAGCCCTTGGGAGAAGCCCTGGGACATGTGAGAAGTGTCAGTGTGACTGGTCCTTACACAAATGGAGGGAACTGCCACCCCCAACAGCATCATTGCATGGTCCCCCTAATTGGTCAACCTGACAAACAAGGCAGGGAGTCCGGGAGAAAAGTGGTGTCCTTTCAATGTGACAAAGACATTCCGAGCATCCCAGGACAATGACAGGGCTACATGCAGGAGAGAGAAGGAATTAAGACTCTGTGGTACCTTCGGTGGCCAGATCCTCCTGGAGAAAACCCAAGAGGGCCGAGCTAAGCAGGCTGCTATCTTGGGATTTCTGAGCCAAAGTCACCGTTCCTGCCCTTGAGACCTTTACAACATGAGTTGGAAAGACAAAGACAGATGTTCCAGATAAGAACCATGAAGGCATGTTGAGGAAGGGAAACCCACACTGCTAACGGCCAGGGCAGACTACTGGTTCTGGACCTGCTGGATCCACACAGCCAGAACCAGCTCTGACCCATAGAGTCTGCACTGGGAGACAAGGGTGAAGCACATGGCCGAGAAGATACCCAGACAAGCCCTGGCCAGTGCAGCTCTGTAGGTTGGAGCGTTGTCCCGTACACCAAAGGGTGGCAGGTTCAATCCCCAGTTGGGGTGTGTATGAGAGGCAACTGATCCCTGTTTCTCTCACACCAATGTTTCTTTCTTCCTCTCTTTCTCAAATCAATTAATAAAAACCTATCCTCAGATGAGGATTAAAAAAGCAACAAAAAATGGGACAGTCAAAAAAAAAAAAAAAAAGGGGGACAGTTAAAAGTGACAGCCACACCTCAGATTCCAGGAGAAAAGTAATGCTGTGCATTTATAAATACCAGTACTGCCTGGCCGGTGTCCTCAGTGGTTGAGCATCAACCAATGAACCAGGCTGGATCCCCAGCAAAGGGCGTGCAGGAGGCATCAGATAGATGTTTTTCTCTCATCAATATTTCTCTCTAGCTCTCCCTTCCTCTATCTCTAAAATAAATAATAAAAAAAATGGAGTAAACGCCACTACTTAGAGACTATGGGACCCAGAGAAAGTCCCTCCCCTTCTCAGGCCGTGAGATCACTGGGTAGTCACTGGACTTCCATACCCAGATTGTATGAGGCGCCCCGGCTTAACCTTAACCTCCGATAGCTCAGGGTCCTAAGGGTCCCATGTGGAAAGCAGGCCCCGCTCCAATTTCACAGGAAGACCGGAAGAACCACAAAGCCACGGAATAGCAGTCAGAAAAACCAAGTGTCTGGACTGCTCTGCTTTCCAATGGAAAACAGACTAGCAGAAAAGGACTCAAGAAGTCTGGCTGGGCACCTTAGAGCCTGCCCCATGGCAACCTTCCTTCAGTGCCTGCTCCTGCATTTGGAACCAGCCCCCCAAAGTCCCTGAGCTCAGCCACCACACAACGGCAGGGCCTCTGGGTTCCCAGGTCGGCCCCAACCTAGGGTACCCAGGCCCCACCCTCAGACTCAGTGTGCGCTGGGAACCAGCCCTTATCAGATAGTGGCGCTCCTCTTTGTCACCCAGGCACCTGGTGGTAGGAGGCTCAGGAGTGATGCCTGAAGAATGAACGAACATGGGATTCCCGTGGAGCGGGGCGGGGCTTAAAGCAGCTGATGGAGGAGGGACAGCGCGGGATCAGCAGCAAGGAAAGGGAGGGCATTTTAGGCCAGGGGAAGAGAGAGCTTTTCCTCGCTCTCCCTCTCCCGCTTCCCTCCCAGCGCGCGCACGCACACCCCGCGCGCGCGTCTCCGGAGTAGCCAGCTCCCGGCTCCTCACCTCACACCGTCTGGAACTCCTTCCCGGCGTCTAACTCCAATGGCTCCTACTGCGGCGTTCGTCTCCACAGCCGTCCCTCATCCTTCCCAGCCCGCCTCCTGGTGTCCTTCCCGAGGCGGGCTCTCTGCTGGGCCCGACTCCGTCCCTGGCCAACCGAGCCACGTCTCCAGCTCATCCAGAAATCCACGACTCCACCTGGGAGGGAAGAACAGAAAGAAATGCAGGACCCTGAAAGACGATATCGCCTTATCTCCCCGCCCGCAGAGCCCCAACGACTGGC